CCTTTCCTTCCCTCCCAGTGCTAAAGGAAAAGGGCTTTTCCCAGTGACTGGCTGCTGCTCCTGCTTTCCCGGCTCCCTTCTCTCCAGCGTTTCATGCTGCGCATGGGATCAATGGTGATGGATTTCAGTGGCGGGTCTGTTTGGCCCTCCCTTGAGGGAGGAGAGATTTGAAGAGTGGTGAAGGGGCTGGCTGTGGGTTGGTGTGAGTAGGCGTATAACTGGAGGGGAGGACTGGGGATGCAGGAAGAGCAGGCTCAAAGGCCGTTTGTCAAGCTTGGGCAGTTTGACTCAGGTAAACTTCAGAGAACTGGGGAAACGGCTCATTGAAATGCATGCAGCAGACATCCCCACCTCCCAGAGCGAGAGAGACTGTAAACACTGGCTTAAACAGCAGCTCCGAGCACCCTCCTGCCTGCCTGCCCTCCTCCCCAGAACACGTGTGTGGGAGCTGGCAGCAGCAGGGCAAGAGGTGGGTTATGTTTTGCTGATCCAGCTAACTTCTTCCCTGCCCCGCCTCTTCCTACCCCTTCCCCGCCCCCATTCCAACCCCTTCCGCAAAGTCCCCTCCCTACCCCTATTCCGACCCCTTCCCCAAATCCCTGCCCCAGCCCCACCTCTTTCCCGGAGCGCGCTCATCCCCGCTCCTCCCCATCCCTCCTGGAAAGTCCTAAGCACCGCCAAATAGCTGTTTGGTGGCGGGAAGCACTGGGAGGTACGCGGAGGAGTGGGGATGCGGAGTGTTGGGTGAGCAGGCAGCGGTGGGAGCTATGGCGGGCTGCAGGAAATAACTCCGCGGGCCGTGTGTTCGAAACCCCTGCTCAACACCAATTATTTACCTCTTCATTTACGTTATAGTATTTATTATAAAAGTTAAACATGGTCTCCACTTTTCTTCATATTATGTAGAATCAAAAACATGCCTGTCAAAAATGGCACAAAACCAGCAGAACAGGGCCACAATTCTGGTCCAAGATGTCTGTTCCACAGAGTTTATTGCTAGATTAACAATGTAGTTTCTTAACGTTAGTCCAATGGGAGGACTAGCATCAACAGATTTTTTGGAAGAAGCGTGTTTTGACAGGGGTCTGCAAGAAGGGAAGGGTGTAGGCAGGGAAAACTAGATCAGGGACAGTACCAGCTGCCAAGTTTCTACTCAAGACAGGACCAGGACTGAACTAGCAGGAATGCTGCAGGTCAGGAATTAAGTACATTGATGGGACTATACAGACAACCATCACAGCCCGCACTATGCCTGACTCAAGCCGCTGATACCAGTCCTCACATTCCCAAATATTGAAGTTATTCTGGTTTTTCTCCCCTTTTCCCAAAAAGTGTTGGCTTCATTTTTTACGTTTATTAGTTCTTTTAAACACTTTTTCCTAACACACACAATACTTCTGGGAAATCACAACCACACTTACAACCATTATGCACATGCTAAGAAACCAAGGGCTGTATTTTCAAGGGTTCTCTACTTGTGTGCCCAGCTTCAGACTTGTAAGGGGGTATTAAGCTGGGCAACCACAGTTAGTGGAAGTTTTTCAAAATTCGCTATCAGGAGACAGATAGTCAAGATCACTTGTTCTGTGCAACGCAGACTTAGGTGGGAAAAGGCACTGGAAACAGGCAGAAGGCTCTCACAACTACCCCACTGACCCCATCAAGCTCTCTCTTATCTTTACAGTAGGTGAAAAGCTCAGTAACCACACAAAGTATCATTAGCAGGGCAAGAAACTAAGAGTGGCAGTACACTTTGATTTGTGATGCAGGACTCCCTGGTTGGATTAGATCCAGGCTGAGCTTCCCTTTGGGAAATTGAAACCAGTCACACTCCCCTTCAATGTGTTGTAGGTATTAAAATGTGTAGGCCTTTAACATTTTCCTGTCTCTGTCCTCTTCGCTACCCCCAATTAGTCCTTCATGCCTCACATTGGGAAATGCTAGTATAGATCTTCATAAGAGGATACTTATCCTTTCTTTCATGCCTTAAAATAAGTAAAATAGTTAATACTGAAAAAATATCATCACTGGCATCTGAATTAGCTACCACTGAAATAAGACAGCTCATACCTCAGAGCTATAGTTTCAGGCTCTCTGCAAACTCATGCAGATCAGTTACAATTGTTCCGTCTTTTGTTTTGGTTCTACTTTGTTTTGCAACCATAGCAGTCAAAAGTTTTAATTTTTAATCAAAGCTGACATCATGAGCCATGGAAAAGAAGATTTACACAGCCCTCAGCTAGTCCCCTCACTCACCAACAGGGAAATGCACCCCACTCTCTAGGGAACACAGATGTACACAATGACACTTTGGTATGCTAGTGATTGAGACACCTACCCACATTGGAGTCCCTCATGCATTCAGCGACAGGGCATTGCTCAATGAGGAGTTACAAAAACAACTTGCTGTAGATATTCCAGTGACCTTATGCACAGAATTCAAGCAGGGCAGGACAGTTTCACATGCTGAACCCAAACTGGAAAATTGTACATAGAACCATAGAAATGTAGGGCTGGAAGGAACCTTGAAAGGTCAAGTCCAGATCATCCATGACAGGATACGGGCTAGAAGGACCTTTGGTCTGATCCAGTAAAGCCGTTCTTATGCCTAAACTTGTTGATAAACAGTTTATATCCATTTGTTCTTGTGTCCACATTGGTGCTTAATTTAAATAACTCCTCTCCCTCCCTGGTATTTATTCTCTGATGTATTTATAGAGCGCAATTTATCTCCCCTCAACCTTCTTTTGGTTAGGCTAAATCAGCCAAGCTCTTTGAGTCTCCTCTCACAACAAATATACCTCCTCCCAGTTTACTGCAAACCACAGATAACTACTCTGAGTATGGTCTTTCAACCAGATGTGCACCCACGTTATATTAATTTCATATAGACCACATTTCCCTAATCTGATTATTAGAATGGCATGTGGAACTGATTAGGTTGGTTTGGCATGATTTGTTCTTGACAAATCCATGCTGGCTATTCTTTATAGCCCTATTATCCTTTAGGTGCTTACAAATAGATTGCTCCAGTATCTTTCCAGGTATCAAAATTAGGCTGACTGGTCTATAATTCCATAGGTCCTCTTTGTCCCCCTATACTATGCTATGTTTGCCATTGGCCAGTCTCTGGGACCTCACCTGTCCTCCATGAGTTCTCAAATATAGTTGATAATGGTTCCAAGATTACCTAAAATGAACTTCCATCAGGCTCTGCCTACCAGAATACATCTAAATACGATTTCATCTGTTCTTTCCCTAATTTAGCTTGCATTCCTTCACCTTTCTTGTTAATATTGTGTTGAGGATCTGGTCACCATTAACCACTTTAGTAAAGACTGAAGCAAAACAGGCATTAAACATCTCCACCTTCTTGATGTCATCAATTATTAGTTTTCGTCCCCCGCTAAGTAGAGGACCTACAATTTCCTTCATCTTGCTCCTAATGAATTTAAATACCATCTTATTACCTTTTATGTCCCTTGCTAGGTGTAACATTCATTTTGTGCCTTACCCTTTCCGACTTTGTCCCTACATGCTTATGCTATTGTTTTGCACTCCTCCTCAGCAATTCATCCATATTTCTACTTTTTGAAGGATTCTTTTTTGGTTTTCAGGTAATTAAAGAGCTCCTAATGGAGCCATACTGGCCTCTTCCTATTCTTACCATCTTTCATTCACAGTGGGATAATCTGCAGTTGTACATTTAATACTGTCAAATTGTTTAATACATGCTCTTTAGGAGTCACATGATGGGTTAATTCATCACTCCACCAAAGTCAAGCAGCTCCCTACCTTCATCTGTGTGAACTGTCAGAAGCTTGTGAAACACTTATTGCCTCAGGACTGAATGATAATAGTATTAAAAAAAAATGTATGCAGATTGCATTACTTGGCTCAAACCACAAAGCACAGATTAGAACACAAACCTCTGCAGTTACTAAAACCTGTTTCTTGTACACCCTTCGACATTCAGCACATATATCCAATCTTTGGAATATTTGACAATTTAGTATGAAACTAAGAATTGGTCAACATTACAGAATTAGGTCGACGTAAGGCAGTTTACATAGACCTAATTAGGTCAGTGTACACAATACAGCCTTATCCTGCTGATGTAAGTGCCCTACTATACCAACATAATAACTGCACCTCCACGTGAGGCCTAGGGCTTATGTCAGTGTAGTTAGAGCAATGCAATGTCCGTGTAGACACTGCATTACTTAAGTTGGCTGTCATTCTTGTCAATTTCATGCTCCATGTTGGAGCGGTGAAATTGACAAGAAAGCCTGGGGCTTGTGGTGGATTCCAGGTACAGCCTGGTTGCCCCCCAGCTTGGCTCCCCACTCTCAACCAGGTTGCTGATTGTGCTTGTTGCTGGGAGCCCTGCTGCCTCCAGGCTCCCCTCTGGGTTGGTTTCTCGTTTCCCTGAGTGGGGAGCCAGGGATCCTGGGCAGCTGCCCCCCTCACCCGCTGGGGAGGCGAGAAGCATGAGGGGGCAGCTGGGCTCCTAGCAGGGAGCTGTGAGCCCTGGCTCTCAGCTCCCCATACTTCCCGTCTTCAGTTGGTGGAAGCGCTCCTGGTGAGGATGTGCATCACCAACAGAAGGAAAGTAGTGTGGACATCAGCCACCACAGTAATTACTGCGGTGGCTGTAAGTCGACCTAACATAGGTCGACTTAAGTTTGTAGTGTAGACATGCCCAGTATGAATGTCATATTTTGTTGGCACTCATATCAGAATAGTATTACACAGGCTAGTAAGACAATAGCCTAGAGAGATTATCCATATACAAACTGGATTTTTTTTTTAATATAGCTATATACACCACTAAGTATTGTATCTTCAGGATTCTTTCAAATGTTATCTTGAAGAGCAATATACTCAGTCATGGAGTATTCACAGTACAAACAAATGTATTTTGTCATTACCTAAACACTAAAGTTTATACATTCATTTTCTTGATTAATCTCACATTGTGAAATAAAGTTAGTTTCCAGTTTATAGAACGGAGGGGATTTTTACTTTATTTGATGAAAAAATATACATAGTTTGACACGTATGATGTAATCTCTCTCAAGTAAGAACTAAAAATCTGCATGATAGTTTACAAATAAATGGTTTCACTGTATAAGGTGCATTTATTGCTGTTCTACATTAAATTTGAGGGGAAAACGTTACATAGCAGGCTAGTTAAACAGAAAACAATTCAAATTCCAGTCTTACTCATTCCTGTATTAAGAGGTGGATATTATTCTGAACAAAGTTATTATTCCCTGTATTACTTTAAAGATTTTAGTGCAAACCATTTTAAGTTTGTCTCAGAAGATACTGATTATAGAACATTCTGAGTGGCACTATTTGTGATTCATACTGAAGTTCCTAAAAAATTTTTTATAGTACTGCTCAAAGATGTTGACCATTTGTACTAGAACAAACAGTATAAATAGAACTCCAAGAGATTAAATAGAATTCTGCTCTAGGGCCTGTACACTGAATGCCTGGATAGTCAGTTTCACTGTACTCACTTTGTATTCAGAAAAAGAATTCTAAGCCTGCCCTACTAAAAAATATAAGTGATTAAAAAAATTAATTTCTACAGAAAGTGTTCGGTTTTCTATTTACTCTTACATGAGCTACGGTATAAGGCCACTTTAACTTTGTCCAGTTTTTTAAAATCCATTGCTGAAAGGGATGAAGATAACAGTGTTAGCTAGTTTTTCAATACCAACTGATACACCTGATTCATATCTCAAAATGCTCTCTGTAACATCCCAAGTACTGATTGAGTATCTTGATTCACATTAGAAGCAGCACAGGTAGTAGTGAAACTGTGCATAAAATTATGTATACTAAATTAATTCCTATAAGGAAACAGCCCATTTTCTAACATGCTTCCCTCACTGGGAAATCTCGCTCCTAGGACTAGAATTAAAACAGAAGGGCATTCCATCAGACAGCTCTCTCATTCAGCTAGTTAGTATTGCTGAACAGCAGTAGGTAGAACTGAAGGTCAGGCAGCTGGTACAAAAATTGTAATAAAAACAAAACAATTGAGTCATAGAACTGTTATTAAGCCAAGTATCTTCTACAAAGTAAACACTATTTCCATGTTAAATACAAATCTTTTCAAGCTTTTTTTAAATATCATGTACAAGTATTTATATATTTACTTTTGTTTTAATAAAAAAATTATTTAATTGTGCTTCTCGTGGCTGATCTACACTGTTGTATAAAGTACGCTAATTTTGTTTATTATTATTGTTGATTATTAGGTTTTTTTGGGGGGAGCTGCAAAACAAAATTATAACGCATTTGTACTAGAATAACTGAATAGATCTTTAATAAAAAGTGATGCTGCCACCAAAAGGCAGAGGATAAAAAAATTAAAGCTTTTTAATTTCTCACTAAAATCTACATATTCCACAAAGGTTACGGACTCAAAGCAACATTTACATTGTTATAGGACAGTACGATATCCTTCAGTATGAGCTCATTCCTTTACTGGCTACTTAACTGCTTAGTCAGTAGAACTAAAATGATTATTTACCATAGGCAAACTAAATTTTGCACTTTGAGGAATGCTGTTTAGAAATGTTTCACTGTCTTGTTTATTTTGGGCCTATTTACAAAACGATTTCTACATGTATTAGCAAATAAATAATTCTGATATTCAAAATGTCAATGCTCATGCGCACACCGACAAGATGGATGCATGCTTTAAAAATATTTACATAACATAGTATCTTCTTCATGGCCCTCTCCCTTATAATAGCAGAAAGTGCATTTTCTCTCACATTCTTTGTTTTGAATCGTTTAGTCTTGCTTCTGAGGGATACAGCCTTCCATCTCAACAACTTCTGGCCAGCCTTCATATTTGTTAGTATCCTTGTTGTTCTTTATATGCTACAAATAGAGAACATGAAGCCATTGTTAAAAATAAAACCATTTGTCCTGTTACCATTATAAATATTGCTAGGCTACCATGATTAAAAAAAAATCATGCCCTCCAGAAATGCATATACATCCTTTAGCAAAGGCTACTCTTTAGGTCTGAGATAGAACTAGAGACAAAATACATGTTTTTCCCTTATCAATGACACCCATTGCAAATAACCCAAATCTTAACCCAAATCATGAACCATACAAAATCAATGACATAACAGAATACCTGCTAATAGCCATGAATTTGGAAAAGTGGATGCTAAATATAGGCTCCTTAGACCAGAGTTTCTCATCGTCTTTTCTTGCGGCCACAGCATCCTGGGCTCCCCCCACCTTCCAGGGCCACCAGCAGTGGTTGGGCCCTGCCCCCCTCTGAAAACACAAACTCTGGAGGTGCAGACAGCTGGTGAGTTTCCCACTTTCCCGAGGGTAGAGCAGGTAGGCTTTGGTCACGGGGCTTTGGGCTCCATCCACATGGTGGCAGGCTCTGGTTCCAGGCTCGCCACCCCCGCCATCATCCCGGTGCCCTGCTGCCTTCCTGCCGACCTCTCCATCCAGGGCTTAATTTGTCCCAGGGCTTGCCAGGGCTGAGTAAGTCGGCTATGAAAAGTGATACTAACAAACATACAAATATCACTTTTCACAGCAGAAGACTTACCAGCTCGCAAGTCTGGGGGGGGGGGGGGGGGGGGGGGGAGGAGCTGCAACCAAAAAAGCAAAAGGAACAACAACAAAAAGACAAGAACATGCAAAGCACCTTATTTGTGTTTCTGTTCTGTTTAGGTCCAGTAAAGAATAGACACAAATATAAATTATTTTTATTACTGAGTCTGAAAAAAACCCTACATAAATACATTTTGATTTGGCCATGTATATGTGCATATTTATTTTGTTTTTCCTAAAGTTAATTTAGTATTGTAGGAAAAACTGTCAATGCAGCCATCAGCAAGAGTTGGTGGCCACACTCTGAGGCCACCAAAAAAATTGTTTTGAGAACCCCTGCCTTAGACTGTATGTAGGCACTGAAATAAGTGTTCTATTTTCAAAAGCAACTGGAAATCATTGGGATCTGTTGCATGATAGGCATTTTTGAAAATTAGGTTATTTACTTAGGTGCCTAAATTTTGAACTTCAAACACTGATTTTTGAACTGGCCTACATGACCATATTATAGCTACTTTTTTTTTTTTTAAGTAAGAAAAACTCATTTTACAGAGTTTTAGTTCATCAGTTTTAATGTAGATCTGTGCATCGTTTTTCTAAGGTGCTTATCACAGCATCGTTTTGTATATTTAAAAGAAGTTAAATATTCAAATAATTTTTTGTGGAACTTAAATACTAAATATCTACTGTGATAGGTTTGAGACAATGTTTGGTGTTCATATAATAGGCTAAGCCTCGGTTAGTATAAATTGACTTATCGAACTCTGAAAAGTAATATTAGCAACAAACCTGTTCAAATGGACTTTTAGTCTTAATTCCTTTTCCACCACAAAAGACCCAGTTGTCTCTAAAACCAAGGTTAGTAATAGATGTGCTTCCCAGTTCAGCAATCAGTTTCCGTGCCTCCTCATTAAGCCTTGAACAAAATGCAAAGTGTGTTAAATGTGAAAAATATAATACATGTAGCTAGATCCTTTATTGCTTAGTTCACCATTCAGCTTCTAATTCACAAAATAAAATTTCCAGTTCGTTGGTATTAGGGCTAGTGTTACAATTGGAATTGGGAATGCCTCTCTTTATGAGGCCAGGTTTCAGTGCTTGCTGTGTTAGTCTGTATCAGCAAAAAAACCGAAGGAGTCCTTATGGCACCTTAGAGACTAACAAATTTATTTGGGCATAAGCTTTTGTGGGCATGAAGTGGGTTCTAGTCCATGAAAGCTTATGCCCAAATAAATTTATTAGTCTCTAAGGTGCCACAAGGACTTTTTTTTTTTTTTTTTAAATGAGGCCAGTTGATCGAATGAAATTTCTACCATTTGATGCCAATATCTCATGTGGCCAGCACGGGGATCCAAACCTGTAAAAACGAAGGCCTCCAATCCTGCAAGGATCTATACACATGCTTAATTTTAAGAATGTTAGTACTCCAGCTGAGTTCAGTGGGACTACTCATGTGCTCAAAATTAAGCACACATGAAAGCTTTCATTGGATTAGGCCCTAAATCTGGATCTGATCACCACCTGCTCAGCCCATATATATAGAGAACAATTTTTGGAATACTATCACTCACTCAGGCCATAAGAAGATATCAATCAGCCTTTCCAAGATAGGTCTGATAGATTGTAGATTACAATCTACCACATGAATTATTTATTATTTATATGCTTATCTCTAGGTTTTGACTTTATATTTTTGAATATTTTGATGTCATAAGCAGGCCATTAAGTCTGATCACAACTAAGTGAAAGATGAAACATATGATTGCTCAGGTCCCAATTTCAAATTAATGATGATTAACCTTTGCCAAAATTATGGCTTTAGATCTAAACAAACCAGTTATAGCAGGGAAGATACAGCGATGATGTAACAAGATACATTTTATTCCAAAATTTTTGTGAGGCAACCCTTTTTTCTCCTGCCAGCTACTATATTTTGGCCAATAATTTGGCCCGTTTTCAATTCTGAGCACGCCACAAAACTTTTGATTACTGCTAACTAATGTGCTATAATCATATGGTATGAACTCAGAATACATCACATTAAGCCAGAGCATAAAAAACTTTGGGCACACCAAATTAAGTTAATTTTGGGGCTACTTTCCTGTGATTGTACAGAATATTTAGATGGTTACATTCCACTAATACAGCTCTACAGATAAGGCACAGATTTTGTTGAAATTGTTTGCATTCACTATTACCGGAATGCAATATTGATGAGGTTTTTGTTATTCATATGAAGTTACTAGTGAACATTAGAGTCTGGTTATTGACATGGACTGCCAAAACCCACATTCCTATTGACCTGTTGAGCCTTTTTTTGCTGTTGTCACACTTAGACACCAGCTCTTGCAAGTACACAGCTGGGACAAAGTACACACTGAAACAAAACAAAAGAAATCTCATATTAAGTATCATGAAAGGAAAAACAGGTAACAGACAGCTTGTCTAAAGGGGAGGGGATGGTGGAAGACACCCCTTCAGGGGTGGGGGAGAAGCAGGAGGAGATGTTGGAGGAGAAAAGTAATAATTTTTAACTGCCCTCTTTCCCCAGCATTTCGTAGTTTGGAATAGGCAGCCACTGTTAACCCACTCTATTGTACAACCTAATTTGGGAACAGTTCAACATTATAAATCTAGGCTTCACCATAGAAAGTGGCTATTGTGCCATAATCTGCTACTGAAAGAACAGCTGGGCTGGAGAGTGATGGGTTAACAGAATTTGAAAAATATTTACAAAAAATATTTTGAATACTTAATTTTTTTCCTAATTAGGAAAAAGTTGCTCATAACTTCTTTGTTTGTTCTCATATTCTTCCACAAGGAATTATTTTTCATAGTTGAAGGACAGGTTGCATAAAACTCCCAAAAATTATTTGTAATGGCTATTTAGTTTTTAAAATGGAAACAACAGATAACCTGTAACCTAATAGCAATAAGACATCAGAGTCTGCATTAGTTGGCTGTTGGTGAACACTTTGGTGGTTTGACTGTTTGTCTCACATCATCTCCTTGTGTAGCCCAGTTTACTAAAGCACAACCTATTGTAGCTTACTGATATAGTGCAAATGCCACCACCTCAGTCACATACAGTGGCAATTACAATACTTAAACAAAAGGGAATCAATTAACTAATAGTCATGACGACAACCTTAACTCTTGACTTATTCGCTTGTGTTGGTTTAAACAACATTTAGGACCAGAGGTTGAGAATGAGGAGATGAAACCTGAGATACATGAATATTCATGTATACAATACTGAATCAACTGCACCTGCAATGTATGCACAAACTATGCACCTAATGAGTTCTTTGGTTTCAAATTAACTTTATAACAAAAAAATAAACATGCACAATCTATTGATATGGTAATGGCAAACAGACAGACATTACATATGTAGTTATTTAGATGTCAAAGTTGTGCATGGAACACACTCACCGCAAAAAGGCCTTTTGAGACCCAGTTCATTGCTCCACTTAATCTAAAAGGTTTTATAATAACAACATCTACATGTGTAGCATACTAAAAACAGCAGAACCTCAGAGTTACGAACACCAGAGTTATGAACGGACCAGTCAACCACATACCTCATTTGGAACCAGAAGTACACAATCAGGCAGCAGTAGAGAGCCACACACACACACAAATACATCACAGTACTGTGTTAAATGTAAACTACTAAAAAAATAAAAGGAAAGCAGCATTTTTCTTCTGCACAGTCATGGTTCAAAGCTCTATGAAGTCAATGTTCCGTTGTAAACTTTTGAAAGAAAGAATAGCCATAAAGTTTTGTTCAGAGTTATGAACAACCTCCATTTCCGAGGTGTTTGTAACTCTGAGGTTCTACTGTATGCTTTAATTCTGCACAGCCTGGAGTATTCACTCTTCAGGTTACAAGATCATAAAATTAAGAAACTTTCCCATAAAGGACAGTGTCAATGATATTATCCCAGAAGCAAAACTTCTTCAAACATGTTTTTGGAACAGTTTAAGGTTTTTTCAATACACATATATGATAAGTATTTAAAAATGCAGGATAAGCAAAATTTACTATTTTTGGTCAATACATACTTGGTTGCACCATCATCATAGGTTCCCATTAACACTATAGTTCCATCCTGAATGGACTTTAGGAAGTCAATAAACGGTGCCACGTCTGAACAGAGACAGAATACACAGAATTACCGCAAAATGCAGTTACAGTACCATACCAAATCTAGACAAGACACCTTTGGCAGTGCTAATTTAACACTGAGACATTCCTTATACATAGTTTATACATGGAGTCAAAGAAATTAAGTGGGGAAAAGATGACTAAAGCATCAGAGAAAGTATACCTTAATTCTATAGCTGCAGTTTCACCTATTCTCTTGTAATAAAATACCTGATGTTTGTTTCCATTTAAATTCAAAATGGTGGCAATAAACTGAAGCTCTGGTAGCCCAGATTGGGAAAGTACTCAACATCAAATTAGTCTAGTGGGAAAAAAATAAGCCAAACTTATATAACACAAGAGCGGCGTTAGTCATTTAGGAAACCGATTTATTAGCACTACGATAACTCTTACTAGTACAGTTTACATGCCATTTTGGCACACGATGGCTTCTTTAGTCTGCTGTCAGAATTGCCATTAGGGGGATAATTAGTCAGGAGGGCAAATGCCTTTATGTGCATGTGTATAGATAACAAAAGATCTGTGTGCTTCTATTTACCTGTCCTCTCCTCATGACTATAGTAGGATATATGAAATGACTACATAACTGCTCAATTCAAACATTTAAAATGTAATGAGAAGCGATTTATTTTTGCCATTCAAAATTATTTTTACACAAGAAACAATTCATGAACACTTACCTCCTCCCCACATGTCGAAGAACTTGGTGTCCAATGCTTGTCCCGTTTTGCCTAGAAAAAAAGCTTACATTGTGTGTCTATATCCAAAGTTCTTTTAAGAATATATTCAACATTTCATAACAACCAATCAGAGGTGACAGTATAGCTTTGAGAGCCTGCAAAAAATACCATACTAATTCTCAGCTGGTATGTTCTCTTCCATGAAAACAACACCTTTAACTTCCTGTTCCTGTACTACTATGCACAGTCAGAGACAAGACAGACAAAGAAGAGCACTGCCATCTTAGTGACAGAACTACACAAGCAGCAGTAGAAAGAGGAGTGTTTTTCTCAGTTTTAAAGAACAGTACAAAAATGGCACATTCATACTTAAAAGACCTGCTTCCTGTATCTATTTAATAAAAAAATTTAGCTTTTACTACTTTTTATCCCTATTAGCAATGAGTGTGTGGAAAACGGCACTTTTTCCAGCTGACTGGAAATTTCAGTCATGGCAGCTTCATTTAAATTAGAGGATTTTAATGAATTAGATATGAAAATGAATACTAAAACCAGCAGAGCAGCCTGTTACTCATTTTGATAAGAATTTATTTTATGCTGTTCCAGTCAGTTTTTGATATGCATTGAAAATACAAAAATCTACATCTTAACTGCATTGTAGAAGACAGCAGGCCATTTCAGCTGCTCCCTACCCAACTGCCAGATTTTGGTCTCTGGTCAGGTGGAGACAGTTTAAGATTGAGGCATAAGCACAATAGCTGGATATTTCTGCTAAAATCATCATTAGTGAAATAGCTGACAAAGTTGACACTTAAATGGTCATCTTTACTACTGAAATCGTGTGTGTGTGTCTGTCAATCACAACATATACATTTTTCAAGTTTCTCTCTTTCACAATCATATGTGCAGAATTCGTCTGTTTTGTAATGAAAGCTTAAATTCTGGAACATAATCCTGTAACAAATAACATTTGGTGGGAAGCTCTGTGGCTGTGGAATCATGGCATATATTGATCCTTAGCTATGAAAGAATGAGTGATTCTATTCCGGCATTATCAATGGAACTTTTAACTAAGCTCCACTGAAAACAAGTGTCAGAAGAATTTGGCTCACAGAATCTTTACCACTGGTGATGGCAAATTAACAAATAAAGATCATTTGACTTTCTGATCACAGATTAAGTTTGGAAGCCTGGCAGTTTTTTCCATTTTACATGTAAACAGAACATATATTAGCAGATAATCATTGAAATAAAATGAACATGGAGCCCGTGAACCCATTTTACAGTAAGTTTTTAGAGAAGAACTGCACTAAAATTTTAATCTTTCCACACTGCAATTCTAAACTAAACTATAATTAAGAGATTTTTGCACATTACTTTCAATATAAATCTGAGGGTTTGCTTCCTATGACTCCCCTCCCCCACTTTTTCTTCTCTTTCTCTCTCTGCCTCCTGGCTGTCTTTCTCCCACCCTCTCTAAATGCCTTAAGAACTATTTGAGAAATGGTTTTTGAATGAAAATACTTTGCACATTTAAAATATGACTTACCATTTACCAAAGCTATATTTATTCCTCTGCCAACATTATTCTTAACACCACTCATTAAACTGAAACAAAAATAAAATGTTTACATCTGAATTATGAAAAACCTCTGAAACAAGCATTTCATATTTTAAAAAAGGCAAGACTTAAAAGTTGGTGGTAGTGAATATAAATCTGAAGTTAGGAACTATAGAAAATTGATAAGGGAAATCAAGGGACACAAGGAGAAACCTATGGTCAGAGTTAAGGACAATAAGGAGTTTTTTAAATATAATCAAAAACAAAAAGAATCTGGACAATGGTGTTGGTCCGTTACTAGATGGAAATGGTAGAATGATCAACAACACAGAAGAGGCAGAAGTGTTCAATAAATATTTCAATTCTGTATTTGGAGGGGAAAAAACAGACAATGTAGTCTCGTTATATTGTGATAACACACTTTCCATTCCACTAATGTCTCTGTAGGTTGTTAAACAGAAGCTACAGAAGTCAGACATTTTTAAAATCAGCAGGTCCAGATAACTTGCATAGAAGAGTTTTAAAAGAGCTGGTTGAGGAGTTTGCTGGACATTAACGTTTACTTTCAATAAGACTTGGAGCACTGGGAAAGTTCCAGAAAGTTGGAAGAAAGCCAGTGTTGTGCCAATTTTTAAAAGGGTTAAATGGAATGACCCAGGTAATTACAGGCCTGTCAGCCTGACATTGACCCCAGGGAAGATAATGAGCTCAGGCCGATATGGGACTCCATTAATGATGAAGTAAAGGAGATTAATGTAATTAATGCAAATCAACATGGGTTTATGGAAAACAGATCCTGTCAAACTAACTTGATATTTTTGTTTGATGAGATTATAATTTTGGTTGATAAAGGTAATGGTGTGGAGATAATATACTTAAGACTTTTGACTTGGTACCACACAACATTTTGATTAAAAAACTAGAACATAAAATTAACATGAAACACATTAAATTGATTAAAAAGTGGCTGATAGATCCACTTGGTGATGATTCCCCATTTACAGTTACATTTTGAAATCTGTTTCCCATGGGGTCCTGTATGGACTGTCTCTTGGTCCTCCACTATTTAACAGTTTTATCAATGACCTGGAAGAAAAAGTCATTGTTGATAAAGCCTGCAGATGACCAAAAATTAGGGTAGTGGTAAAAAAAAAAAAAAAAGACAAGATTCAGAGCAATCTAGATCACTTTGTAAATTGGGAGCAAGCAAACAATATGTGTTTTAACATGGCTAGACGTAAATGTATACATCTGGGAACAAAGAATGTAGGCCATACTTACAGATTGGGGGACTCTACTTTGGGAAGCAGTGACTCTGAAAAAGATTTGGAGTGGTGGTGGAAAATCAGCTGAACACAAGCTCCCAAGTGTGACACTGTGGCCAAAAGAGCTAATGAGATCTTCAGATGCATAAACAGGGGAATTTGAATTGGAATAGAGAGGCTATTTTACTTTTGCATTTGGCAATGGTGCGACTGCTGCTGGAATACTGTATGCAGTTCTGGTGCCCACAATTCAAGCAGGATGTTGATAAATAGGAGAGGGTTCAGAGAAGAGTCATAAGAATGATTAAAAGATTAGAAAACACGCATTATACTGATAGACTCAAAGGACTCAATCTATTTAGCTTAACAAAGAAAGGTGAAGGGGTGACTTGATTACAGACTCTAAGTACCTATATGGGAAAACAAATATTAAATAATGGACATTTCAAATCTATCGGAGAAAGGTGTAATGCAATCAAATAGCTGGAAGTTGAATCTAGACAAATTCAGACTGGAAATAAGGCATAACATTTTTAATAGTGAGTAATTAATAATTGTAACAATTTACCAAGGATCTTGATGGATTCCCCATCCCTGACAATTTGTAAATCAAGACTGAATGTTTTTCAAAAATGCTCTGGGAATTATTTTGGGGAAGTTCTATGACCTATGCTTTACAAGAAGTTAGACTAGATGATCACAATGGTCTTTTCTGGCCTGGGAATCTATGATTATGCTTTTATGGAAGCTCTGAATTGAGGCCAGGGAACAGAGTCATTCATCCTTAATTGTGCCCTGTTTAACTTGGTCGGCTGACTTCTTCTATCATGTTTTTAATAGACTAACCATTTTTATATGGCTGGACTGTTAATTTTATTTCTTGATAATTTAAACAAACATTAAGTACATTTTTGGCAAGCTTATTTGTTTTAAGAAGTGGTAAGAATTAACCCTAAGGATACAAAATGTTTATGGAAGTTTTATTAAAACATACACATTTAACAAGATTTCATCTCAATATATTTGAGGTAAAAGGCAGGCACTTATGTACTAGGTCCTAGTAACTAGGATATAGGCTCTGTTCAGATAAAGATTTAAACACTTAATTTTGACCAATATAAGGACTCTATATTCTTCCAGTAATACTATGGAAAGATATGCAGAAATTAAAAAACTTAAAAGGGCTACAGTAACATTCAAGCAAAATATACGGACAGTAGTTCATAACAAGGTATGCATGCATTCAAAATTTCATGGAAAAAAACACAGTACTTTAGACCTTGTTATTAAATACACAGTATTTTGAATGATTAAATTAACAGTAATTTTAAGGATCCATTTGCAACATTAATAATTATTTTCTGAAGGGATATTGGCCCAAATATTATGCTTTTTTTATAAATATACAACCAATAGAAATGTTTCCATGACCATAAAATAAATTCCAACAAAAAAAATTTTAAATAAACATCCTCCCATGACACTGCAGAATTGTGCTTGGATATGAAAAAGTGAAAGCAACTAGTCCTGTTTTCGTTGGTCGCATGGAAGAAATGCAAAAAAGGTTAAAAAGAGCACAAAAATGAAAAAAATAAAATGAGATGTGTAAGAAGTTTCAGTACTCAAAGAGTGCAGTTACACACCTATACAATGGTAGCGATCTATGATAAAAAGTTATTTCACTGCACCCAAAGATGTGTTAGGCAGTTCAAAGAACAGACAAATAAGGACCCTGTCATGAGCAGCTAACAAGTTAAAAATAAACACAAATGAGGGTGAAAACAAATGAGAGGAGCATTGGGGGAGGGGGTTCAAGAAGGCTGCACAAATAAGATGCCACAGCTACTCTTAGGCTCTGATGCCAGAAAGCACTTAAGCATGTGTCTAAATTTAGGCATCTGCTTAAGTTCCATTGACTTCACAGTGAGATTTTAGGATGTGTTTACATGCTGGCCTGAATAGAGTGCTCTCCTGAACTGGGACCTCAGTTTGTGCTCACTTCTTAAGGAGTACATTTTTTAATCAGTTTACTTCTCTGGTCAGTTATTTTCAGTCCAGTTCTGCAAACCCCTATTGGAGAATCTGCTTCTGAAGGGCAGTATCCATGCAAACACAACAGCAGCAACATGAGCTTCAACGGAATGGCCCACTATTGTTCCTCCACACTAATGTCAAAATACCACCTATTAAAGAAGTTCTTCAACCTATGATGTAATCCACCTCTGCTGAGAGTGCAAACAAAGGCACTATTTAGTGCCAGTTTTGATAGACACCAGCTGATTTCAGATTGGGAATAAAGAGCTATCAGTTGATACTAACTTTGTCACTGTGACTGTATCTGAACCAGTAATTAGAGATGAAAGGTTCCATATTCCTGTACTAATTCCTTGAGTTATATAGTCTGCCAAGAATTTTGAGTAAAAATACAACCCACAACAGGATTTAAACTCAATAACCTTTAAAATATAAGGCAGGCAATTTTCCGCTTGGCTACAAAGTTAAGCTTTAGTTAACACTCAGAAGGTATTTTGGCCACTGGAGGGCTTCCATATTTTTCCATTAACGCAATTGAAACACATGGCAAATGAAAATACAAATGTGAATGAAAGGGCAGTAAAGTTCTAAGTACATTCCTTAGGACATACTAAATTCTCTGGGTAGTCAAAGTTTTGTGAATGTTTAATTTACCATGTTTTTATTCAACACAAAAGTTAGAAGAATTTCCCTTTAATTTGGCTATAGATTTCTTCATAAATAGGTACCTATCAAGAGAGTGTAATGTTTGAGTGATTAGATATCCATAAAACCACAAAGACTGAAGTTACAGCATTCTGTACTGTAAGGGAAATACACTGGATTTCCCAAATTCAATTCTTCAAGTAGATGGAGACAGGTATTTCACATGCGTGTGCCCTGCACACAAGAGCCAGAGAATCTTGCCTACCAGTACCCACAGAAGAGTGGTGCTTGCGGCTCGTGGCCGTAGCCTCTCCCCTGGCTATATGAGATGGCATCATCATGACTCCCCTCAGTTCCTTCTGACTACCTGCGACTAGAGTCAGAGCTCGTGTGGTTTTTAACCTCACAATTCATCTCTCTCTTTTAGAGACTTATTCTAGTTGTATATATTGTAGTCAGTATCATCAGGGAAAAACTCTCACCAGGATTCAAACATTGTCTGTTGCGTGAGGGAACAATCCCCAACACAACCCCACACTCGGTGTTGCTTTGCTTAGGTGAAGCCTATGTCAAGGAGCTGTGTTTATTTGCAAATCATTCACAAAACACAATAAGGTGGCAAGGGATCTTCACTTACAGCAGCAGCTTCTCAAATTGGCCATGTGGCCTGCATCAGCACCGAGGTCTGTGTGGGATTGGAGGTCACCCTCAGGTTCAGAGTGCGCTGATGTTTTGCACTTTGGGGCCGGCAACTCTCCAAAGAGGCAGAGAAGTCGCTCTCTGTTTAGTGCACCAAGGAAAAGGTTTCATAATACCAACCAAGACCACTGCAGGCCTCATGAAGAGTCTTCCTCCTCCTCCAGAAAGAGTACAGATTGGCACAGCATTACTGCTGGCACGCAGCATGAAGCGGGCTCTTCCTATTGCTCCCTCTAGCAGGTAGGGAGATGAGATCCCCATACCATCGACTCCAGCTCCAGCCCTGGGGCGTCCGCTGAATCCAGTATTGACAAAGGTTGTGATGGCATCAGCTGTTTTCACACCGGCAGCACATCAGGCACCAATGGACCTCCTCTGCCTTTCTGTCCTGAGCTCTCTATTGG